GGGACTCCATTCCTGACACAACAACATAATTTGTTGTGCTTGAAGCCCCGCAGCCTTGAGCTTTTCAGTGAGGCCACTGGAGAGCCCTTGAGAAGGGAACTTAGCTGGGCATGCAGGTAGCTTCTGGGGTGGTAGGAATGACAGGAAGCTCTACCCCAGAAGATGGAAAATTCCATCTGCTCATCTCTCTCTATTCCCTGAAATATCATGCTGGACAGTTATCTGTTATGTTATCTCATACATTATTTGCAGGTTACACCAATGGTTTCTGGAAGTCTAGCATCAGCAGACTTGGTTTTCATGTGATGTTTACATACTCTTCTTATCACCACAGGTATTATTTCACTTCCTTATCTTGAATGTGCTTGGTACATGAAGTTGTCTGACCTCTGTTCTTCCTCTCTCCTCCTGCCTTCTTTTTTGGCAGCTGTAATTTCTACATTTTCTTTCCGTAATAAACTTTCGTAATTTAATTTCTTCTTTTACAGTCCTGTTGTAATTTTGTACAGGTTCCTACTTGTCTGGAAAGTAATTCCTGAAATTTCAGTTGTCACTACAGGAAGTGTGGGTCTTGGCATATATATATATATATCTATATCCCTAATGTATAGTATTTATTACTGACATTTACATCTGACCAAATGATTTGTAGGATCACATGACAGAGATGTTGTGTGGGAGGGAGAATGTCATACTCCCCTTTATTTTTCCAGTAACTTCTGGCTTCATTGTTATGTATTTTTGGTTGTCTGGTTTTAAATATCTCTTCCATGTGCTCAGTGTGTAACCCAATTTAATAACTTTCACTGTTCAAAAAATATTTGTTTCTTTTTTCTGATCAGAAGCTCAACTTTTCACACTCTTTTTCTTTACCTATTTTTGCATTATCCAAAAACACCTTTCTACTGTCATATGCTGAAAGATCAGTGTCAATCAAAAAGATCTGCAGATAGGACCTGCAGATAGGACCTAAATATATCTGCAGATATGTTTTCAGTGGCTGAAAATTAGGGGCCTGAGCCTAAATTTCCTGAGTTTACTTGGATTTTTATGTCTTTAAAGGAGGCTTAATTTGCTTTTAGTGTTGGATGTTTTTTATGTACATATGTACATGGCCAGAAGAGACTGTTCTGGTCCTTCTCAAAATCCTCACATTTAATATATCCAAGGATCGCACTTGTTGACCAGTGTTGAATTGGAAAACCATTCACTTGAATAGCCAGCTCAAGGAGCTCAAGTCTTTTTCCCATCTGCTTCCAGAGTAGCCTCACCATAGTCTCTGCCTCATTTTGTTCCTAGATGGATGAGTATAGAGCTGACTTTCTTTATCTAAACATTGTTCTTTCTGTGTACCTTCCCAAGTGATCCAATTTCAGAGGCAGTCTGATCTTGTCATTATTTTGTGTTAGTCCAAATTTTATTTCAGTGCCTTCTCTCTAGGCTTCATTACAATTTTACCTGTCAATGTTAATTGTGCAAAAAGCTATTGCAAAAACCAGTTCCAATGAGGGTGACATTTTATTACGTACTTCTTAGTTTGGCTGGTCCTTGATAAATATAGTTTAAATCTGTCATCACCTTTGGTGACGGCAATGTGGAGTGCCCCTGGAAGCTGGAAGCTTCCAGTGCCTGCATTTTCTTCATAGCAAGATACTGTGAATCTCCAGCAGTATAGGTGCTGCTTCCCAATGCTGCTCCGCTCTGCTTTCCAGCCCAACACCCATTTCTCTGACTATCCAGGAGACCCATTTATTGGACCTCTCTTACAACATTTCATTTTCAGTTGGTTCTCTGGCATGGAATTTTCATCATATTCTAAGCCATCTCAGTACATGAACATGAACACTTCATCCAGACCTCTTGTACAGTTTTTGGATGCAGGTTTTCCATATCTGTTTTTAGTTTTGTCTTTCAAAAATTGCTTGTTTCAGTAGCTGTTTAACCTTGGTTTTTTTTAGTTTTGTGAAGTTTTGTTATTGCTGTTGTTTTTTCCTTAATTTCCTTGTGACAGGAAGGAAGTTTGTCTCTGGCTTTTTTTCAGCTATATGATGAAGTTATATGGCATAGTTCTGGGATTTGTATTTTACTAACAGTAATTGATTTTTTTTCTGGAATGCCTCTCTTATTGGGATTGTTTTCATTCCTAATACTCTTAAAAATCTTACTGTCTTGAACTGTCCATGCCACTGATTTATGCCATTTTGTCATGCTACAAAATTTCTATAAGCCTGACTTGTAACTTAGTTTCCTACATATCATTGTCCTTATTTACAGTAGAATTTGTGTATTTTATTTTGAACATCACCTAGGAAGAAATTTCTTTTTCAGGTAAAATTTTTTAATGCTGTTGCTCTTAACCTTCTAATTGAAGGTTCCCTTCTCTGCCAGCTTCTTCTACTCACAAGGAACAATTCTGGCAACATGTATTTGAGATTATACTCCAGGGGACACTGCATGCTGTTTTCCGATATGATTAATCAATCAAAATGCATGGAGCATTTTAGTCTGAAGAAATCAATTTTGAGAGGTGGTCTGTTTCGTTATGACCCACATAAGAAGGTGAGGATTTCCCCCTTCCCTCACAGGAAGAGATTTCACCAAGTACAAGGGGGAAATATTGGTAAGCAATACTAAGACATGAAAGTGGGGGAAGTAGTCAGGCTCAGCAGTCAGGCTTTGATTTGTCACAGATACGTGCATGAAACAAGACAGGGCTTCTGAAGCCAGAGGCAAATGCAGGCTGCAGAGGTCCTGGGCAGAACTCTAGAAATAGAGGACTTGGCTTTTGAAGGGCAGCCCCCAAGCCCCGTTGCATACAGACAACTGCTGGGCAAATGTGGCTGTGGGGGGGCATGTTCAGGGGGTGCAAGAAGAGGGCCATCAGCTGTGCTCAACACATGAAGATCCCAGCGCAGTGTTTAGTTTGGTTGGTTGGTTTTCAAAGGTGAAGAGAATGAAGAAAACAAGCTCTGATGCCATCATGTCACAAGGCTCAAAACCCCCACACTGTGACAGGAGTGGTCTCCCTTCCTGTGGATTGTGATTTCATTTAGAGGGTCTTCACAAAGGTAGGCAATGTGGATGGGAAGTGCTTTGCAGGGCTGAAGTAATATCAAGAAAAAATCAAAACTAGAGGGCTGGGAAGCCCTCTAGGAGATGCAAACATGCCTACACCAGATAGATTTTCTGCTCTGCTTCTCTTGGAGAGTCTCTATGTAAGGAGAGCCCATGTGGAGGCCAGGATATGCTGTGATTTACCCAGAAAGTGCCTCTGGTAATTTCATTCCCCATACCACTGAACAACAGCATTGGCTATACTGGGAGCTATCCATGGGAAGGGCTATTATCAAACACAGGTTAATTTATTTGAAGGACCGGAATAGAGGCACTTCCAAGAGTCAGGAACAGCTCAACAAGAAGGATTGGAGGTGTCCTATCGGTATTTGCTTTGGCATATGCAGAAGTGAAAAATAAAAATTTTTGGATGTGGCCCAGTTTAATTTTAGGTCAGAGAAAGTTCTATGGTCTTCCAAACTGGCTATTTCAATTGTATTATGAAAATATTCCTGCAGGTTTGGCTGCTTCATGATCAGACCAATTTCTCTGTAAAACATGTCATCCATTTAAGAGGTTTTTTTAAAGGAAGAAATATGGGAAAGAACAGCTCTACTTTCTTTAGTTCTTTAAAGTACAAAACCATTTTTATTTTAAATTTGTAAAAATAATTCTTTCTCTCATGTGGAATCCTCTCTGCCAAACCAGGCACCTCAGCACTGTTAAAGACAGAAACCTTTCCAAATGCTCCTAGGTAGCTTGAAGTGTGGTCGTATAGGTGCCATGTCATTTATTATAAAATATTATAGAAAGAACTCTGATGGGAGTGAAAAACTCTTAGTTTTTTTTCAGAGGAAGTGCCTTTACATAAACCCTGATAGGAGCAGGAGGGTCTAATGAAAAAATAAAAATTATTGATATTTTCGATAAATATTTACATTTTGTATTTTAGCAGGACTGTACAAATGTAAATCAGTTCATTTGTCACCTGCAAAGAAATTGTCTGGTTTTATTTTTAATGCCTATGGGTAGGTAGCAGGAAATTTGTGTTACTCGTGTGTACATGGAAATATTTTCATTGCTGTATTCCTTTGGAAATTCTGTAGTTGTGCTGGAAAAAAAAAAAAGTAATAACCTGAAGTACCACTGGTATGATGGTATGATATGCCTGAAAGTTTTTGCATCCCTGTTCTTCAACTGGAAGAACTTGAGATTACTTGACTTGTTGCTTTCATTCTGTTTGATTTTCTTGGGATTTTGTTTTTTTTATTAATGGGAGACTGGGAGGTGTATTGAGTGTAAACAGTCAAGGCCAGTAGCTCTTCAAACTTCCATTTGTTTGACAAAAATGTTCATGGTTTTGTAGTGGTAGGATTTTTAAAAGATTTGGTACTGTTTAATGATTAATGTCAAACAGTTGGTCTTTCTCCCTTTGTTTTTTAAAGTTCTTATAGGTAAGAAAGTGACAGTAAATCAGCATCGACTGAGTGCAAAGAGATGTTTTTGTCAGATTTATACACCTACTCCCAGACTTTTTGTGCAAAGAGGATCTTGGCTCTCAAGGACACCTGCAAAATATTTCCTAAAGCAAGACAGCTATAGGGGCACTAAAAAGGGAGGAAAATCAGTTGGAAGCAAGTAATTCTTCAGTAATGGAGTCTGAAAAACTGCTGAATCTGATCCCACCATAGCAAGCTGCAGGGTAACACACTGCTTGCTCAGGGAAGTCTTCCCTGACTGTGGCAAATAGAAGGACAGTGGTAAGGCAAGATATACAAATATTAAGTATTTCCAAGTCTCAGTGGCTGCATGTGATCAGTAGAAGGATCACAGATTTCACCATGATGTGAACTTGAAAACCTGCTGAGGTTTGGTTTGATGAATCACTGAAACAGACATGGGTAAATACATTTTCCAAAAGCAGCTTTTATTTGCCCAAGCAAGAGACAGATGTTTTGAGTTCTTACCAATTACATGCCTAGAGTGTAAAAAACTCTGGGTCACTGGTTCTGATTTTGACCTTTCCATTCATAAGAGAAAGACTGAGCTCTCTGAGAATATACTAACATATGGAAACCAATTATTTGCTCTCACTTTAACTCTACAGACTATCAAAAAGAAAAATAACACAACACACTCTGGCTTCAAGGCATGTAAAATAAAACAGTACCGTATACACAGACTGAAGAGCATGTTTCAGGAGAAAGGCAGCACTTTAGTATTTGACATTAGTAAATATACCTTGCAGTAAGTTCAACCAAGAAAGACTATAGTTTTTTCATTCACATGGGATGAATATTTTTCTTTTATGCCACTGTTTCACCATATATGCCACACCATATATGATACTCTAGGATAACCAGCCAACAAGGCATATTTTAATTGCCATGCATGCATAGGCAACATGGCAGTGTAAATACCAGAACCTGTAAGTGAGCAGCATGCTTTACATGGAATGGCTGTTTCAGGGTTCCAAGGTCGTCAGCTTACTCTGTGAGCAGAGGACTTTGCATGTTGGAGGATGTGGAGGCAAAATTGCTGTCTCAGGATTACTGATGTGTCTGAGACAAGGCATGGGGCAAGTGGGTTGTGGGAAACTGAAAGGAGGCTTTCCCCTATTCCTGGAAATGTCTCTGCCCCATCTCCATGAAAACATGGGGGAGCTTAGATGTCCAGGGTGAGATCCCACAGAGATTTGTCAAGAACTAGGCAGGCCTGCATTTGGGATGCATCCATAGCCTGCATCACCATCCATGACCTGCAGCTTGGGACTGGAAGGAGGATGGATATCCAGAGATTCCAGTCACCAAGAAGCTGCCTCTGTTATGACTTCACTCTAACAGGCACAAAACAGGGCTATAATATCTAGACAAAGTACTCTCACCCCTGTAGCTTCTTTGATGTGCAGAGAATTAACTGCCCATGGGTCAGCAACATTTTCAAGCAGCCTTACCATGAAGTGCAACTCTAATGATAGAAGAGGGTCATCTGCCTCTCCCAGGCTCCCTGGTCACTTGTGCAAGCTCAGGCAATGAGACAATGCAGCTGCTGGCAGCTTGAATGCCTGGGAGTGAAAGCTATGGGGTTTCAACTTTGAATGCCCAGCATTGTGATTTAGAAGGACCTTGTTGTCCCCCTTGCTTGAAGCCAACCAACTCTCTTTATTTAGAAAAAATATTATTTTATTTTTTAAAGAAAAAAGTCTTTGCTGATCCAACAACTTTGCTTGTGTTCTGCTAGCTCCAGTAATATTGATGTATGGAAAGAGATCAGCCCTGGAGTTTTAATAATATGTGAGCTGCAGCCTTGCTCTGCAAGTGGATGGGATTGTAATAGTGTCTGCTAAAACTATTCCTGCCAAAACAAACACCAGGAAAGATTTCTTTTCCGTATACCAAAGTCTCACTTTAGCACTTGCCAGGGAACACTTTCCTCCTCCTGTCTTCTGCCTGTGCTGGACAAATAAAGAGGGCACAGCAGTTCTGGAGGACTGCCTGAAAGGTTGTAGGCTGCAGTCCTTAATGCAGTGCTCTTTGTATGCTCAGAAAGGGCTTTACTCTTTCATTTCAGAACTTTTATAGGACCTTAGGGCTGGGGCCTGCATTCTTCTGCAGTAAGCTCACAAAATTAGATTCCCTTTGGACTTGCAAACCTTGGCCACGTTCATATTTTATGTGAGCCACTCTGCACAACTGATTCTTCTGGTGTTTATTTTTCTTGATTTGAAATAATTCTTATTTTCCTCCGAGGAAACCTTGCCTGTTAACGACTGCTAGCTGTAGCATGCCATCAACTATCCTCAGGTCTTCTCCCATGGCTCTGTCTTATCTCATCCATCACCTCCAGACGTGAGGTCAGAGGTTACATGAAGTAGAGGGAAAAAAATTATGCTTGTGAAGAACTGAATTGTTTTGCTTTAAAATGTTGTCCAGAGGTTAGTTATAGAAGCCTTCTTGGCTCAAGTGGTCTTCTCTCCTGTAGGAATGGGGAGTCAAAGTTTCCCAGTGGTTAAGTTGTAGCTTTGGGCATACTGATAACAAAAACACATGCTACCATACTGACTGATGATAATTAGAAGATACTCTTTGCAGTTGTGTGACTGTATTTATCCTTGTGGTTTTTTGGGAGTGTATGTGTATCTCTCTCTCTCTATTTGTAGTTACAAATGTCTGTGAAAGTGAGATGTGAACCAGATCTGTTCCTCACAGCCCCTTGCCTCTTCAAGACAACACCCAGACTCTGAATACAAGCCCAGGAGTCACTGGAGAGGAGTTGATTCTTCCCTCACACCAAGATGGGGAGCAGCCAGGAGTGGTGTTGATATAATGGTGGGTCTCAGAGTTCCAGATGGATGGGACAGGTTATTCCACAGACTGATACAAGTTCAAAGTACCATTTTCCTTTGACTATGAAATTTGTACCTGCAGCTTGCTTTTGAGCCCATCAACCTTATATTTCAAGATATTTACCACCAGGAAAATTTCCCAGTCCTTCTAGGACATGAAGATCTCAAAGAGAATTTTGCAACTATGCAAAAAAAAAAAAAAAAATAGCATTCTGTATACCAACCAGATACCTTTACTTGAGTAGTCATTGCCCTTAAGATGAGGAATAGTTCTCTTTGATTAGACTTGCAGTGATGACCTTGGTGACTATCCTATGTTATTTAGAATATATGCATGAACCTTCTAGAAGTATGTGGGACTCATTGTCAAATTTTTGATAAGATTTACCATCCACTACCTTATAGAAAAAGACACTTATGACTCCTGATGGGATAAGAGAATTCCTGCCATGATCTGATATTTAATCTGTCTTTGAAGATGAGTCTTGCATTCCCACTTCTGATTTTTCCTTTATTGTTCTTTTCCCCATGACATGTAGTAATTGTTTTTCTTATTAATTTTTTTATCATGCAGGTAGACAAAAAGTGCAGCTCTGCTAAACTGCTGTTGTAAAAGGTAGACACTTACCTAAATTTGATATTACCTGTTTTCACCTAAATGTTGGAATGCAACCTAAATCAAACTAAATATTAAAATCTAATATCAACTAACATCAATTTTCTACCTCCCATAGTCTGGTAAGATGTAGAGATGCTTTAATTTGACATGTCATACTGCTTTCTCCAATGTCTTGGTGCTTCATTTATGAGAATCCAGTTGTAAAGTGTTACAAGGGAAACATCCTGTCAATATCTAGGTGCAAAGCAGCAAACACTTGGAAGACAACCATGCACACTCAGCAATTGGTGGTCAACTTCTGGTTCCACTGAAATTTCTGATGTCCATTAAAGTTGGATTTGAAACAAATAGCCTTGTAAGTTTTTAAAGGAATTGAAGATTTTCTCAAGCTGAAATGCAGGTTAACAGAACAGAGACTGATAGTATTTATACAAGCCAAGTAGAAGGAATTTTTGATATTTTTTTTTTTCTTCCCTTTAATTTTTTTTCTAATGATCCAGACAGGTTTTATCTTCCTTTGAACTGACAGAGTGGCCTTGAGAAGGTGAAGAAGACCTATCAGGTTACCCATAGATAAACAAATGCAGAAACATCTTTAAAATAAAGAAATTACTTCCTTATATGAGGTGTAATTTATAATATATTGTTTTATTGACCCAAATTACCTCTTTAATTATCTCTTTGTTAATGCTCCTTCTTAAAAGAGAAGTTTGAGAAAACTCTACTGTTGTAAACCTTATGACTGTATGAGGACAGTGCTAAAGCATTGCCATGGTCCTTTGACACATTATCATCCTAGTAAATGATCCAAGTGTTGAAATGCAGTGTGGAGTGATGGCTTTTGTAAAGCTTTGCCATGTGTTTCAGCCCTTCTGGAAAGTACAGCATTATCTGATGGTATGTCTCTTGGAGAGGAATGGAAGGAGACAAGGGAAAAGAAAATATGGGCTTTGTAAAAGTAATGATATTTTAAACTAAAGCTGTAAATGAGGAAAAGCTTCCTTGTAAGCCTGTACAATTAAGACCCATAATGTTTCTAAATCCTTTTTTTTTTCTTTCTTTATAATTTTATGATAAAAAGCATTACCATTGGTTTTGGACTTATATAATAACTCTAGTAGTCACAGAGGAAGCCACAACTAGTTATTTGTGAAACAAATTATACCCCTCTGCAAACTTCACTGTATAATTTGCACTGGATTTCTTGTTTGTGAGTATGTACATGCTAGTTCAAGTACTCCATTCTCCCTAGATTTCAAATTCCCATACAAGTGGCTATGACTTTAGTGAAACAGTTGCGGCTCATTGTATCTCCCAAAGTCAGAAATAATTTGTCATAATGGAGTTCAAATTTGCAGTCAGTGCCTATAATAAACAAAACATGGCTATCAGAATTTAAAGGGATTGGATTACAGTAACAAACAGTACTTTTGAATGTGATTAAATAACATAGATATCTCCCCATTTGTCACTTGTGGTTCATTTTGTTTACCAAATACAGTAGGCAGTTACTGGTTAAACTAGTACACACCATGGATTGATTCCCTACCAAGAGCACATTCCTTTGACATGTACCTTTCTGTATGTTTGCATGAATGTTTTTATATGTATTCTCCTAGCTGCAACATATAGATACTACTCAGCACAGCCACAGTTGCAACTGGACTTGTCATAATTTCTGCTTACATTTGCACTGCTATCAGCCTCACCCTGCTGAAAAATGCACTGTGTGCCTCCAAATGATAATGTTTGGAAATCTGACCGAGGCTCTCTGCAGGCACTCAAAGCTAATGCTAAAAACTTGCAGAGTTATCTGTTCATATCAGATGAAAACAACTTAGTTTTGCCCTAGTTGATTATTATGTGTGCTGGTGGTGAGTTCTAAGAAGATCTAGGCAGCTGCCTTCCGTTGATTATATGATACCACCTCAACTGAATCTAAATGGGGAAATCTCACCTGGAGTGAAGTAGTGTCTATTAAGAAAAACACAATCAAGGTTTTACACCAAAGAAAATATTTCTCATGGTGGGTAGTTTTCTGCCTCATTCCATAGGAGTTTCCATTGGGATGATGGTGTCCTCTTCCAGATGTTGGTACAGGGTTGGCTCTGGTGCTCTGGGGTTCCCAGCTAACCTGAGGAGTAAGCCTGCATAGGTGAAAATACCTTATCTAACCCTTACACAGCTGGACACCTCACAAATTATTCTGGGCAAGGACAGTGGAGTTATTTTGAGTTTGATCCTGCACCAGGGCCCATGGGTTACAGGGACAAAACTTGGCCTGGGGACTAGTCTGAGCCTTCAAAGCCTCAAATGCATCCTTCAGCTTTGCTTTCTTCCTACCTTATTCCTCACTGCATGTCTTAGATCCACATCTCTGGGATCCCAACTTCTCTGTCTTTGCATAGTTTTCTGAGCCTCAGAAAAGCCTGTGCAGGGTGTCAAAACTGCTGCTACAGACTTTCTTTCATGGAGACTTGGCTAGTTTGAAGGGTTGGATGGGATGGATGCTATGACTCTTAAGAAGGAGTATTAAACAGCTGAAAACTGACGGCATGAGTGCTTCTATATGTTTGCATGTGTGTAGGAAAGAGATCAATGGTCTTGGCATCTCTTATCTGAGGAAGTATTGCAGTGTCATGGACTTCACTAATGCTCAGTAGTGCCTTCAGATTGCCCTCAAACAATAATGTCACCTGAGGATCAAGCCTTTTTTATGTTTCCACCACCAGTGCATAAAATAACTTTCCTGCGATCACTGTAGGAAATGTGATGGATGTGTGGGAAAGTCCCATTTTCAGAGTGTACTGAGTTTTCAGTGTTCACTACTAGCAACAGCATTATGTGGTAAAGGGGGCAGAAAGAGAGAGACAAAAAGGTTTCTGAGATACCAACAGGGTTTCTTGGACAGTAAATAGGGCTTTCTGGTGTTTTGCCTTTTGCCCTTGTGTAGTTTAGGTTTGCTGACAATGAACGTGCTGACATTACTCCAGGAGGGCTTGTTTCCAGTTGTGCCTGTGCTGATGGATGAGACTGAAACAGGTCAGCTCAGCTTTATCATGTCCTTCAACAGCGTCTGTAATGAGGCAGGGAGGAACATGCTGAGAATTCAAGGAGAAGAGGTTTTTCTCTCTGCTTTTTGATGCAAGGTTGGAAATATCAGAGGAAAATAAGAAGCTGTATAAAAACTGAAAGCACTTTTTAAGGCAGTTACACCACATCTTATTGCTACTTCTATCTTATGCTACAGATCTGCAGCAGGCACTTATGACATTAAAAATTAAACTCATGGGAGCAAATGTGGAGGGGAGCATTTGTAACATGCTTCATTTTCTTTGAAAGCAAATAGTAAGCAGGCAAAAGTATGTCTGACAGGATTAAAGACATGCTGGTAGCAGTGCCTGAGTTGAACTGCCTGGGGAATATGGTATATAACATGAAACTTCAGTCATCCCAGGTCATCTCCTCTTTAGGACCACTTCTCCCTTTCTTACAGTACTTGGGACAGACAGCCAATCTTGCTGCAGTTTTTTAGGAATGGACTGACAGTCTGTTTTCTCTCTTTTTGTTGTAGGACCTATGACTTTCTACCAGTTTCTCTCACACAATTGGAACTAGCACCTGGCTGCTAGTTATGGGTGAGAAAGGAAGCTAACACACATGGAAAAAGGAGAAGGCTGTGAAGACATTCCAGATGCTATGGCCTTATTTCCTTTTCCCCCCCCCCCCCCC